ATGTTATGTTATGCTATGTCCGTAATCAAGTTCGTATATTTACCTATTAATGTATGGCATATAATTTACTTACAAAAATAAAAAAATACTGTCTGCTCTGAAAGAGCTATCAGGATTTACAACATTTTCCTAGAATAAAGTGTAAGATCATAATAACGAGTCAAAAACTTCACAGTAGAATTAAAACACACAACTCCCCTAATTTCCTTCGCAGTCGGGTAAACCAAAGGTGTGATTATTACGAATGAGTTTCACAAATATCAGTACGTAGGTAGGTAATTTGAGAACTACATCATTAGTTTAGAGTCAGGTCACACGTATGACCTGACTGACTGACTGACTGAGTAATTGGTTTAATTTGATGACGATGACGGTTCAAGTTTTTTATAAGTACTTTATTAAATGTTTTTAAATTAAATAGTCTAAGTACTTAATCGTCGAAACGTGTTATAGTTAGATAGTTACCTAGGTATACGTAGATGTTGTATTTAGGAACATGATAAAACACTAGATTAAATTAAATAGATAACATAACATCACGCTTATTATCCCCGAAGGGGTAGGCAGAGGTGCACAGTATGCCACTGTACAATGTAACACCCACTAGGGGTGAGCCACAATTCTAGACTCCGTGCTACTACTGAGTTTTTTTTTAAAACCCAGTATTACTTTGCCCGACCCGGCAATCGAACCCGAGATCCCTTGCCCGGCAGTCGCACTTGCAACCACTCGGCCAACGATGCAGACTTATTAAATTAAATAAAATAGGTACGATAAATCTACGAGGGATATTTTTTTTTTTGTAATTTATCCATAGTTTTTTTTATAGATGTAGAAAGTTGAAACGACTAGGGATGATAGATATAATATTTAATATTATGTTTGTTGACTTACTCACGTAATTATTTGACGAGGAACTCGACTAGTTTCAACCCATGCTAGGGGCTCATATTCATGAGCAGCATTCTGCGACCCGCGACGCAGCGACTATCGCGCTGCTACTGCCATGGTTTGAAACTAGTCGAGTTCCTCGTCAAATAATTACGTGATTCGTAACAACTCCCAACATTGCTAACCCGCAATGAGCAAGCGTGGTGATTAATGCTCAAACCTTCTCCGTGTGAGAAGAGACTTTGCTCAGCAGTGGGCATTTATAGGCTGTTGATGATGATGATGCTGATAAACAACTCCCAAAGATTTTAGAAGAAAGAAATAAAGAAAGAATGAAAAATCATTTATTTAGCACCAGGCACGATGCAGCATAAATAAAATATAACAAGACAATCAAGGTGTGACAGTGGAAGTAAACAAAACATAAGAGTTGAAAAATTAAAACAGAAGAATTAGAAGAGAGACGCTGACAACATGCCTATACTAAAATGCTATTTTCATAATTATATTAATCTTTAAAACATACCTAAGGACCATTTTTTTGCCCCCAAGCATTAGTATGCATAAAGTTAAATATAACTATGTGTAATTGGATACGAATTACTTAATATTAATTACAATGTCTCAGCGATATTGGGAAAAGCTTAGTCATTGTATTTAGACTGCGTTTAGTTCGTTTTGTGTAGCTATTTGCTACCGTTCAGTGATTAATTCTGTATAAATATTTTGATATTCAATTTCATATATGGAGAGACGTTTAACCACGATCATTTGTTAGTTTGTAATTGTATATCGATATATTGATTTGTATGTCTTTGAATTGGAAAGCTTTTTCTAGTTTTACTTAGACATTTATTTATAAGTTTTTTTTTAAGGGAATATTCGATAAACGAGCAGCCGGATCACCTGATGGTAAGCAATCGGTTTCGCCTATGGATATCTGGAACACCAGAGGTGTTACAAGTGCGTTACCGGCCTTTTAGGGATTAGGAATTTGATGATTGTAGGGGGATTCAGGAATTGGGGAGATTGTGGGAGGGTAATTGGGCCTCCGGTTATATCACTCACACGACGAAACACAACGGAAGCGTTGTTTTGCTACCGTTTTCTGCTAGGCCGTGGTATCGTTTCGATTGTGCCGGCCCATTCGTGCCGAAGCATGGCTCTCCCACACTTATCCTTAATTACTTATATTATATTATAAGTACTTAATACTTATATTATAAGAAGCGTATTTACTCAAATAGGTGCCTAAGTATAAGTATTTAATTCTAATCAATACTTATTAATGATCAATACCAACACTTCTGATTAGGCTATTTTTTTCTGGAATAAAAAGCATTAACTAAGTATTTACCTACTTAGGTACCTATAAGATAGGAGCTTCAGCATTCAAACTAGGAAAAAGAACTAAAGTTATACTTATTATTATGTCGCGGAGAACCTAACGGTAGCCCGGGCTCCGGCTCGACGTGCAGGAGAAGGAACGGGGTGGTTTTAGTCAGTAAGAGCCTGACACTCCCTCCCGCCTCACCCAGGCGGGAGCAGTCATTCGATGACTTTCCCCCCTTAAAAAAAATATATACTTATTATTATTTTGCATAGCAGACTTCCTGTTTCACCCCCGTGTTTTACTATCGCAACAAACTTTCTAATACCGTTTTTAAAATACTTATGTCTGTTAATAAACTAGAAATTAACGCCTTGGTCAAGCTTTCAGCTTTCTTCTGTGTCTTTAGCTATGTTATACCTTTTTAATAATTAGTACCTAGGCTAGCCAAAAATATTTTTTATCTTATTTACCCAAAACTATGTTAAAGATAGAATCACCTTTAAAAAAAACTTCGCGACCATAAACAGCTGTTGCTTTTGCGTTTTCCTTCGTTGGAGATTAACGAAGTAGATTATAAAAAAGATATCGGCAGAGATATCGGTTGCCAGCGCCATCTGCCGGCGGACGCGGTGCTAAGTGACCTGGATACATTCGTTGGATACGAAAATAGATTGTTGCTAGGAGATTGTGTAGCTTACTTTTTGTGGGACATCCTGCTCAGTTATCTACAAAAAATACGAAAAAAATATAGGTATCATGAAGAAATGAAAATATGAAACCTAACTTTTCATATGAATGTTTATGTAAGTTTAATTTCTATAGAGACAGCTATTAACATTGCAAAAACACCCTATATCTATGAATTTTTCGGAATTTTCAATTAATATTTTGAGATACCATTTCTTATCCTTAGATTTGAAATCTCAGATAGCAAGGGACCGGCGCGACACACTTCCTGAAGTCCAGCTAAACACATGTGTAAATATATCTTTTCAACATAGTAGGTACTTAATAAAGGTGGGTAAATTATTAGGTAAACGCTATTCGGAACTAGAACTTGAAGGTAGGCTACCGTTCCCGTTAGGTGCCAATAAAAAAAGGAGTACCTATGCTTGTATCGATAAAAGAACGAGGGCATCAGCTCATCAGTTTAAGTGTCATTTTGGGTTACGAATGGTGATTTGAATTTTCCTATTCTTCAAGAAAATTACTCACTTCTAACTCTAGAAGTAGGTAAGTAGGTACTTACCTACAACCAAATGAGTGGAGAATAGTTTTATTTGTATCGTCTTCTCCAACTGACAGGAAAGCTATCGGATCGTAGCGTCGCCGACGGAACTCTGCAATCAGTATGAACACATTGAACACTTCCCTTAGACCTATATAAATACCTAGATAGCAGTGATACATATAGGCATTAAAATCGATGATCAATGGTATCTACATAATCCAGTAAAAAACTGCATTAGCCAAAAACATAGCTAATTTTTTTTAACCGCGTAAACAACCGTCTGTTGTGTTTTTTGACAGTTGTATTAGCAACCTATTCACCAACCAACAAGACGATGACATACCAACACTTATGTCAACCCACAAGTGTTGGTACTTGATCCTCAAGCCAAGCACACGCCACTAAAACAACAAGCCTGAATATAAGAATGATGAAAACAAAACAGAAAAAATCGAATAATATTAATAGTGGTAGATAAAAAGGCGACACGATGACAATACGTAATGTGCGTGGGCTACCCCTCTCCCCCTCCCCCTCCCCGTGCCCAGTGCTGGGGGTGGGCGTGGGGTGGCCACCTGTGTACCGTTACAGCGGGGTGTGGTTTGCCGTTCAATAACTTAATACACTCGGAAGGCTTTCACGCTGAAATCTCGCTCGGCAATACTGCGCCCCGTAGTCTTGATACTTGACTGGCTAAATTATTTTGCTGAAAGTTTATGAGTGGTTTATAACATTTTTTTTTGCAGTTACTGTTGCTTCGTTTTATGAGAAGAGATGTCTGATGAATATGATATCAAATACAATAGATAAGACTTTGTCTCAGTGGTAAATTGTACTTCTTATAGTTTGAATTAAGAAACATGGTAACGATAACTGTTTTTTATATAAAAGCTGCCGTTACTTCTTGTATCCCTCTATAACACCGACGGGAAGTCACCAAAGGCTAAAGTTTCACAACAAATCTTTCCTATCTATAGAACTAAATTATGGTCACAAATACCTAACTGTAGGTAGGGTAGTAGACGAGACATATCTGTGTCCTGTGTCATGTAGGTATTGTTGTGTCAATAGACAACACTGGTGATTGATCATCGGTGTCCGTGCCATGATTTATGGCCAGGTAAGTATGTAAATTACGCGCTAAATTATTATTTTATCGATCAGGCGCGACACACAGGACAAACACTAGCATGTAATCCACCCGGATTGTTGTATGGAGGCTATTAATTGCAGGTTTGCAGGTAATCGATAGAGGTGGCAGGCGAGCGTGGATCACGAGGCGCGGTCCGAGCGCTGGCGGCGCGCCGGTGTGCGTGACGGATCATGGCGGCGCGGGGGGCGCGCGCCCCGCCGCCACAGTTAAACGCGCCCGCCGGATACGCGCCGCGCCGCGGTTGAAAGCTATCCGGCCCCCCGGGCGGGCAGACGCGCGATTGGCCCGCGCGACGCCCGAACCGTAAGCGATAGCCAATCGCGGCCCACGACCGGCCCGCCCCTGGCGGGCGAGTCTCGGGTCGCTCGGCCGCGGCGCGCACACTCGCTCCGATGCGCGGCTCGTGGGACGAGGCCGCGACGGCGGCGCTGCACGCGCGCATCCTGGAGGCGCACCGCGGGCCCGCCGCGCCCGAGCGCGCTGCTGAGCCCGCCGCTTGCGCTGAGCCGGCTCCTCAGCAGCTCAGCGTAGAACTGGCGGCACCTACTCCTCTACTGCCCCTGCCCACGCTTTCCTTCAGCGCCGCACAAGTTGCTACCGTGTGCGAGACGCTCGAGGAGAGTGGCGACGTGGAGCGGCTGGCAAGATTCCTCTGGTCTCTGCCAGTGGCTCACCCCAATGTTGCTGAACTGGAGCGCTGTGAAGCAGTGCTTCGAGCGCGAGCTGTAGTCGCCTTCCACGCCGGGAGACACCGTGAACTTTACTCCATTCTGGAGCGACATCGGTTTCAACGTTCAAGTCACGCCAAACTGCAGGCTTTATGGCTTGAAGCTCACTACCAAGAAGCAGAGAGGCTACGTGGACGACCACTTGGACCCGTGGACAAATATCGCGTGCGAAAGAAGTTCCCACTGCCTCGCACTATCTGGGATGGAGAACAGAAGACACACTGCTTCAAGGAGCGCACGCGTTCACTTCTTCGAGAGTGGTACCTACAGGACCCCTACCCAAATCCAACCAAGAAGCGTGAACTGGCTGCTGCCACGGGTCTGACGCCGACGCAAGTGGGGAACTGGTTCAAAAACCGGAGACAACGAGATCGAGCCGCTGCCGCTAAGAATCGCTCCGCGCTGCTCGGCCAGGGTTTCGCCTCCTCCTCCACGTACGACGAGGATTCCGTGGACTCGGAGATCAACGTGGACGAGGAATAAAGTTACAGACTATAGTGTTAAACAGCGACGCCGTCGGCGTGGACGCTCAGTGACTGACGATGCAATATAGACGACAGTTATGTATGTTAGTAGCGCGCAGAGTCCGTGATGCATGTGATGTTAAGGCATTGTAAACCAGTTATTAGGGCGTATTTGTATCGTAACAAGTGTAAGCGAGTGCTCGAAGTATCAGCATCGGCGTATCTCAGGTATGTACCGGCCCCGGCCTCCGCCTCGACTGCACTGATAACTCACTCGTTGTTAAGGTTTGACAGGGTTCATTTTACGTATAATTTCGTGTTTAAACTCCCACTCAGAACGTTAGCTAATTTATTTGATACCTTCGCGCGGCTGCGGTCGATATGGATGCGTTTCCGTGAGAAGCATTTACTTACCTAAATATTTATACATCCTAACTATTTTACCAGTAAATATAGATTTTATTTATCATATCAGCTTTTAGTTGTATGTTATAGTTATTATTAAAAATGTAGATAATTACGTTCGTGGCGTAGATGTAAAATATCGCTATTATGAAGGTTTGTACCTGAGCACGATCACTCCGCGACACCCGTTGTCTAGTGATATTATCTCATATTCATTGTAATTAAATATATCTATCACACATTATTTATTCTATGAAAACGGCAATTATTTGTTCATGAAATGATAATAATAGAATGCTGTAAGAGAGTTTCTTTATCGCTTAAAAGTGAATATTTATTTTTTTAAATATAGGCCTAACTACTGAGCTGCAATATAATGCATTTGTCTTCGCAAATTTTTATCAGAGCATTAACACGAAAACAATTCATAAGTTAAATAAATTCAAGTATCAACACTTTTACATCTTGTATTTAATTATTTTAAAATGATCAGTATAATTTTTAAATAGGTATTGCTAAGTTATTTCGCATGCGGTAAAATAAAAATAAAGGTACTTTATTTTGATGTTCTTCAGTCATGAAAAATAAAGTATCTACCTATGTATCCACCTATGATTTCTTTTGTAGGTAATGAAATAGATAATATTCCCGTAGACAAAATTACATACTTGGGTAATAGATCTTCTTTCTTCCCCAATCGAAATCTTTTGTAGGCACATTCTATAGACAAATATTTTGTTTTATAGTATTCATTTTTTAAATTAGGATTTTATTTTAGAAATTGGATCTGCCAAGCAATTTTTTTTTAATTTTATTAAGAAGAAAATTTCTTCTTATTTAATAAGATATTGACAGATATGGTCTTAAAGAAGACTACACACACAGTTATGGTTTAAAAGATAAAACTGTTCATTTAAGAGATTACCTGATTTTTCTGTCACAATGAAATATCGGGAGGTAAAAAGGGGATATCTAACTTACAGAGTTACATACCTATTTCAGAATAATTGCATTTTTTTCACGTCATTATTCTTATTACAGAAGGAATATTTTAAAAAATCGTTTTTGTGACTTCTACTTACCAAAAATAACTAATCTTGCCAAATAATGCAAAAGTTTGGGATCTTTTTGAAAATTGACGGACTGAAATGATTAGGTACCTCAATGAAATGATGAAATTAAATGAAATAATATTGGAAATGAAATGACATTTATTTCTGCAAATAAGTTACAAAGTAACACTTATACACGTCAATCTTTAAATTACTAGAAATATAATAAAACTTATTCTCGTTTCCCAAACAAATTTTAAGGATTACATATTACAGTACAGTGTCGTTAATATTTATTCTCATTCAAAATTCTATATTTATCGATTCCAATTACGTTTGTCCACATTCGAATAGATGAATACACTACATAAATGTGAATATCCTTTTGTTTTAGCCATTTCGAATAATCAAGTATCGATTCAACCTGTCGTGTTGTGCTCGGCTTGTCCTTAATCCATCATTTGTTGCATTCAGATGTCAGGCTGCGTTATAATATCGGCGATAAATCTTATAACGTCTGATTGAAATGGAACGCAACGGTTGCTTATATTCTGTGGCTTTACCGTTCTTATTTTGACGTTTCGGTACTTTTTTAAATGTAAGTTTTGGCAAAGATAATTGAAGTTTAATAATCGAACCGATTTGATACTTGAAATATATATTACCTACAATATTTTGAGGAAGTCAAAATATGTAATTAAATAGATAGATATGTAAGGAGGTACTGATTGTCAGTACGTTATTTAGAACAATCATTTTTTTTCCGGTCGTTTAAGGCTTTTGGAAGTTTGTTTTCGATTATTTTATCATAATTCTGTTCTCAATTCATCAAAAGGATATTTTAAACGATACGCTACAAACAACTTTACCAATTTTGTATTGTAATTTTAAGGTTTCAAGTTATGTAACAAGTACTTAGATGTATTTAGCCATCACATTTCTTTTCTAAAGTCAAAAGTCAACAGCCAATTTCTAATTTAGAAATCAAACATCTAAATGACCTAACAAGTATTCTAGGAAAAATTTGAAGTGTGTAGCAAAAAAAAATCTCGCTACATTAATTGCACTTAGGCATTGTTCAACTGTCATTGTGTCAATCAAACCTTTGTTCTACATCGTATCTATGGTAAAGAGGCGAAGGAGTGAAACACCCACGTTGAATCGAAATCGAATATATTTGTAACGGTCGAGTTTTGAATTCGGAATATTGTTATTTAGAGAATTTTAAAAAGGAATTTTGTTTTTTTTTTTCGTAAGCTTTATTCATGCTTTGTTCGAGCATTTTCAGCAAGAGTCCCGTGTCCGATTCCCGCCTCGTGTAAAATGTTGTTGCGATTTTCGATTTCTTATCAGTAAGTTGGTGATAGGTTCCGAGCTCAGACCAGTGTCTGAATTGTACCCGGTGTACTTACCTAACTATGAAAAGAGCACTTTGGTAAAATATTTAAGGAATTGTATTAGGTACTTGAAAAAAATAAGCGTTACGATTTTTATGCATTTCTTAAAATATTAAAGCCTTGTTGACGACATTACGAGAAGTACCTAACTAAATTTTAAGTATAGAACTCTTTGGAATGTTCAATGAATTCAAAATATAAAAAAATGTCATCCTTTGTTTTTTCGAGGTTTGCTGCAGTTTTATTGTTTGGTGTAAATATTTCTTGGTGCTAATTTTAATTGCAAGCAGGTCATTTCGTATCATTAATTTGTTTTACGTTTTCTATAACTTGCGAGTTCTTAGTACAAATGCATTATTTATTGTATCTTTGTGTAAAAATGCGATTGTTTTTAGTTTATTATCGAATATAGAGGCTGTTACATAATTTTTATTACTTTGTAGTGCAGTTATCTAAATATTAAGCATATTTTTTGTGAAATTATGAAACAAAACAGTTTGGGAAAACAGAAAAAATACCTATTTAGTATTTGTGTTGACAAAATTTTGTGTAACTTTAAAAAAATACACGGTATAATTTTTTTTCAAAATATTTTATAGAAAGCTCTCTTGCAACATTTCTATTTTTAATCAAAACCATGTAAACGAAAATTATTATTATTATTATTCTACTGGCAACATTTTACCGTTGTTCTTTTTTTGTAAATTTTCCGCGCACGCGTCATGCGGGATGCGATAGGCTAGTTAGTGGTAGACTCAACGAGAGAACTTTGTAAAAATGTATTATAAATATGAATAAACAAAATGCAAATTGTAAATATGATATCGACTTACATTACAGTCATTAAATTAAAATTGTTAATAAAATTATATTCGTAAACAATTTATATTTGTATTATTTTTAATCTGTAGTGTTATAATCATAATTACCTTTTATGACGACTGCTTTTTAAAAACAGCAACAATTTTTTTTTTGTAATGATTACTCGTAGTAAAGACCGCTAGGGCAGTTGACTACTAAATAGGTCTAATCTCTGCAGTGGTCTGTCTCTCTATTAAAGACCCTCAACCAGAGCAGTCAACGCCACTACAAACTAAATGACATTGAGACTGACCGAACATGGATGTGTCAATTTCCAGAACAATTTTTCTACTTTATTAAGTTTAACATTTTTAATTCGGAGTTAATAGGCACTTACAAAGTAACTCTAAATATCAAAACCTACCAATGTTGACAAAAAGGTAGACAGAATTTTTTCCTAGTACGTAGAGACGTTCGTAAGGTATTAATTCCCTGAAGCGTTTAAAAATGTCAAGCTTTTGTAGATATATCAATTACCAAGTATTGTGGACTATTAGGTCATTCGAACACAAATTCAAATTCGATAATTACTTCTTTGGAATCCCATATTCCTAATTTAAATCGATTCGAATTACAAAACCTTTTTAGCGGGATAAGGAATGCGGCCAACAAAAAGTTCGCATTTCATAGACCATAGATTAATAAAGTGTAATTTTTCGTAATTCGTTACGAGCGACTCAATTTATATTGTTGCTAATTAAGTTTATATTATAGTGGGCCGCGTATTTCACTGTAATTGAATGTTCTGAAGGACACAACGCAGGTGCAGCCCACTATTTGTATCTACGCGCCTGGCATCGTCTTAATGTTTTTATAGCCTTGTGTACAAGTCATTACTTACGTGTATAAAATGACACATGGGACAGTTATTAAAAATATATTAAACTACCAATTCCTATTGCAGTTTTTTGTATAAATTGCAAAGCATAGTGGAAAGGAGATCAATTAATTTAATAGAAATAATATTAACTATAACGACCTGTGTAATTGTGAACATGCAAATAATTACACGATTATATTAGACAAGGGTTTTATTCGCAAACGCTCTAATAACATTGATTTTTTTTTATATGAAGACAGAATTGAAACAAACAGTCCAGACGGATCGTTATAATATTTAGTTATACACATTGTGCTCTAGATATGGGCAGAGCGCTTAACCTTTAGACGACACATGTCTTATGACAAACTTCGTTATGTGTTCGTTAATGGAGGGAACGTGTTTATCAGTTAAATCATATTTTAATAAGTCTGTACTCTAAGTACGGAGAATATAAGGTGCACTGAGGCAGTCTACGTAGCTT